TATCAATGGATTTGTTATTTTGTCAATTTGTATAATGAATATATCTTTATGATAATAACTATTGTAAGTTTTTTTTTTTGAATTTGAATTATTTTTTTTTTTTAATAATATTTAAATTTATATCTTTTTTTTTAGACTTCTATTTCTTTTTTTACAATCTGTTTTAAAAGTAAGTACTTAATTATTAATTTATTATTATTTTTTTTATTAATTCATTTATTTTTTAATTTATAGTTTATTATCACGATAATATATATATATATAGTGCTTAATTTAATAGCTTTTTGGCTTGGTAGTTTAGATTATATTCAAATGATATATCATGTTGTATTTCAGGTTATTTGTAGAGATTTTTTAAAAATAAAATATTTTGAATCATTTTAAATGGAAGCAAATTCAGATTCATATGATAGTAGTTCAGATGAAGAAATTTCTGTACGTTTAGATAAACTTGAAAAAGAAATAGCTACATTATCTGGTATTAATCAGAAAAAAATTATTGAAAAATCTAAAAAAATATTTAAAATTATCAATAAACAACTTGATCAAAAAGAAAAAAAAATTGGTTTTTTACGTGATGAAAATTATGATTTACAAGGACAAGTAAATTTTTATAAAAATTGTTTGTATAAAGAATTAATTGAAACAATAAGTTCTTTTTTCGATAAATTACTTGATGATTTATTTGATTATTTTTTAAATATTAGTATTATACAGAATATATTAGGTAAAATTAAAAATTTTATTCCCCAACCATTTTTTAATATGTTATTTGAATATGGTATAGATTATATTCACCCCAAAAAATAGATTTTTATAAAAAAATTTTTCAGAGAATTATTTTTACCTGTAAGTTTTACTCCGATGTTTATTTTTAAACTACCAATTATTAGAACATTTGTTGATCTTTTTATAGTATTTAGTATGACATTTATTTTTTTAATATATTATATTAATGTAACTTTCAGTCATCAATATTTAGTTTTAATCGTAAAAGAATATTAATTTATAATAAATTTTTTTTTGTTTTTTTTATAAAAATAGTCTTAAAAATTTTTTGTTAATTGTTATTTTTTTTTGATTTGTTCTTCGAACCTTTCTCTTGGTGAATATGATATATATATTCATCAACTCATCATAAAATTTTAAACTTATTAGTACAAAATCAATTTTTTGTTTGGAGTTAAAAAAACTCTAATTTTATTTCTTAGTGAAATTAAAATTCACTTAGAAAATTTATTCGGTATAGATTCATATATTGAATCTATACTTTAAATACAACTTTACATACCCAAAATTTACTTGGAAACTTGTCTTCTATTATGAACAATATTATAGAAAACACAAAATTGAGAAATTAATATGAAGACCTTTTCTCAACGCTCATTAAAGTTGTTATCTTGGTGGAATTGGAGTTCTTAGAGTTGGGTTTTCGTAAAGAAAATAAAGAATTTAGAAAACATTCTTATTTAAAAACAGTAGATTAGATTTTAAATTTTTAGAAGTTTATTTTTGTTTTTCTACATGGTCTAAATATTTGTTTAATAGTTTAAATGAGTAGTTAGTCCATATAGACAAACAAATTTATTTTAAATAATAAATTTATCAAATTACAAAAAAATAATTTATAATAAATAAAATTTTTATGCTAATTCATAATGAGAAGTAATTTTACGAAAAATTTTATCATCTTTATAGATAATATATGTACCAATTTTACTTATATTAAAGTATTCTTTTGAATTATAACAAGTCTTTTCTATTTTTTGTATAATTTCTTTTTCAATAAATTCATATCTAAAATTAGTTGGAATATTGTCTAATTGTTGATGTTTGAAAGTTAAATAAAGATAATAATTTTTGTTGATACCTAAATGACCAAAATTTATATTAGGTTCATTTCTCATTAATTTTTCATCATTGTAGTAATAATTATAATTATCTAAAAAAGATTTTTCTTCATAACAAATTGTTATAGTTTGTGGTATATCAAGATCAAAAATTTCATGTTTAAAAAAAATATATTTATTTTGATTTTTGAATTTATAAAGAATTGATTTCAAATTTTTGTTCATTTTTTTTTTTAATTTTATCAGAATAAAAAGTTTTATTTATATTTTTTTATTTATATTGTATTATAAAATATTAAAATAAAAAATCAAATGATTTATACATGTTTCTAATAGAATCATCTTCTATATCATCAACATCAATATTACTATTTACTAATACTTCAACTGTTAATTCTAAAAAATTTCTTTTTTCATCTTCAGTTTTATAATATCCCATCATTTCTGATAATGTATTTTGGATGATATTAATATTTTTTTTAGTAATACTAAGTTTATCAAATAAAGATTCTTTATATTCATCAATTATTAATTCTATATTTTGGATATCATCAATTTGTTCTTCTTGCATCCAAAGTAGATTCCATGGACTATATTTTTTTTTTCTGTATATTAAAGGATATGTTTTTAATTGTTTATATGTTTTATCTTTTTTAAGTCTATTTATTGAAATATTTGCTTTCTTTCTTGGCTGTTCATCATATAGATAGTTAATTAGTTCTTTTGTTAGAGCATCAGTTTCTTCAATTCTTTTTTTTGTATATTTATTTTCTAAAAGAAATTTTTCATCTTTTCCAAGAACCTACATATAATATAATGCATCCAATAAAGATTTCTTGTTTTTACTAATATTATAACTCTTTTTGATTATATCTAATATTGGTTTGATTTTTAAGCTTGGAAACTTTTTTAAACTATCGTTATCTAATATCTTTCTATATTGATTGATGATATATAATATCTGTAATTCAGGAGTACCATTAATATTTCTTTTAGAATCTGCATTATTAAGTTGTCTTAATATAGGATCATCTGGTATTCGTGGTCTTTTTGGTATTTTAGTTTTAGGTTGAATTAGAGTTTGTAATGAATTGATTCTATCAATTCTAATCTGATTTAATTTTTCTTTAGTTTTATCTTCTGATAGAAAATTTTCATCTAAAGATTCATCAATTGCTTTTTCCCAATCTTG